ATATATATATATATAGATATATATATAGATATACAGTGTATATATATATATATATATAGATATATAGATATACAGTGTGTATATATATATATATATATATAGATATGGATGGATGGATGGATGCACAGATTCATATTGGTGTTGATACGCCCTGTGCAGTGCACAATGGTTTCAACATATCTGAAATGAATCAATAAAATAAATAAATTTGTATGTAAAATAAGTAAAGTTTGTTTTAATTACTCCCAATTTCCATTGAATTCCCATGGACAGTTTCCAATTTCCTATTTGGAATATTTCCAAAATTCCTCAGCCCAATTTTCCATGGAAAGTTTGTGGAAAATTTGTACACCCCCTTGCAACCTTACTCACATTTATGTTTTTATAATCCTCAGTATTGATCAACCTGCACTAAACCTCCTAATGTTTGTTTGTTCCTTCCAGGAACTCGGAGTCGGTGACATATTTCTGGCAGAACTGGAACATCCCGGTGCACAAGTGGTGTCTACGGTGAGTCATCCACACACTTCAGCACAATCAGGCTGCAACGGATGAGATGCAGTGAGACAGATCCAACAAGCCTCGCCAATTTATTTAGGAAAATTGATTCATCCGGCTGTGAATGAATAAGTGGCGTCACTAGCAGACTGTTTTTGTCCCCTTCTAGTTTGAGCAGCATAAACAGCTTTTGTTGTTGTTTTTACAGAAACGGCAACACTTTCAATATATTTTACATCTACTGTCTCCAACTATCCAAAGATACTTTGTCCACATCTCTTCCTCTGTGTCTTCCAGTCACTTTTACAAGCCGCTGCTGAGGAGAGGCTTCAGTAAAATGATCAGCCAATCAGCTGTTTTCTTCCTGTCTGCGTTCTTCCATGAGGTAAGCTGATCAGCCATGACAGCTGCTGTTGCTCGTAGTGATATGTCAGATAGGAAACGCTCAGCCGTAGCTCGTGCTGGATGCGGCGCAGATGTTCAGATCAAGTCTCGCTCAGAACACAACTGACACGCTTTTGTTTTCCTGTTGCTTTCTGTCAGTATTTGGTGAGCGTTCCTCTCAGGATGTTCCGACTTTGGGCTTTTACAGGCATGATGGCTCAGGTGAGAACTGCAGATATCACTGTATTCCATTGAAGAGTTGTGTGGTTCACATGTTTTATTAAAGAGTTCACTTAAAGTAGGTGTAAGTTGAAAGAAATCTTGATACATTCAGCAATAAAAATAGTTTTCAACTGTGGAATCTGACCTGTTCTTGATTTAAAGATGTAAGCTGCCTTTTTTTTTTCACAAGTTTGCACAATTTCCTGAGGTCTTGAGTCAGGACACTACAACATTACATTGATTTTACATATTTGTTCATAACTACTGGATTTATAAGATCAAATGAGCCATGCCTTCTCTTCTACAGGATGTCTCTTTAGAAAAACAATATATTTTGAGCTAACAAGCATGTTTAAATTTGCACACAAATTATATTCAGACTTTTTCTAAGGAAAATATAGAGTACAGTATAATAAAACACAAATATTTGAGTTGTCTTAACGACTATTAAAGACAGTTGTGGAGTTATCATATAATGTTTACTGAATATTTTGAAGTGCATAGCTTTAGATGTTTGATCATAAAAATAGAACCCTGTATTTAATCATTAAAACTCAATGACCAGCTGTTTATTTTTCTGCATCCTCAGCTTCCATTAGCCTGGCTAGTCGGCCGCTTTCTGCGTGGTAACTACGGTAACGCTGCGGTTTGGATGTCCATCATCATCGGTCAGCCTTTCGCCATCCTGATGTATGTTCACGACTACTACGTGATGAACTACAAGAACGAGATTGACTAAAACGACACATGCAAATCCATCCAACTTTACCAGTTTTTTTTAGACAACTTTTCTAAATAAACACTAATCTGCAGGGCAGGTCAGATATTGTCCTCAGGATGAGCTGATCCCATCAGCTTTGTTGATTCCAGCATGTTTACATTAAATACCTTAAATAATCTGTCCTCAGAAAACTGAATACTTCAAAGAGGAAAATAATAGTAGCAGAATATTCTTTTTGAATCGCTGAATCGTTAGGAAAGCAGAACAAAGGAAACTAAATGCAGCTTTACTCTCAGGTGATTGTAACTCTTCTGACATTGTGGAACGTAAAGGGGAGTCTGGGCTGAAATTTCAGCCAATGAAACACTTTTTATTAATTTTAATGTAAGAAAAACAGGATTTAAATCACTTTCTTACTATATACAGTTCTGTAAATGAACAGTTTGATCATGGTTGATGCATTTTATTTATGTATTTGGAGCATATTTAAAAAATGTTGTTCCAAGTTAGAAAAGATATATATGACATGGTGTTTTCCATTTTGTCAAAAAAAAAAAAAAAAATACTAATGACCACAGTCTGTCTGATGTTAAACTGAGGTGGAATAGGAGAAATAAATGTACAGTATAGTGGTAGAATTTCAAATAATAAAATGTATAAATATAATTTTCTACTTTCTAAGAGGCCAGCGGTACTGTAAGTCTTTGTGTTGAGTTGTTTTTTGATACCAAAGGTGCCTTTACAGTGAAACAAAACTTGTTGAATAATTGCAGATATTGAGCTGAGCTGATAAGGAAATGCAACCTCAAACTGTTTATATTTAGTGTGTACAAATGTCTCTTTCTTGCTGTTTCATGGAATCCTGCCACATGATCACATCTGATCATGCATCTCAGTATGTTTTGAGTTTAAATAAACAAATGTGCAAAATAACTTGAACTGGAAAGAGAACGTAATTTCAGGTCAAAGAGGTTTTATTTATGTGTATAGGGCTGGTGTTTCTGTTGTGCATTTCTAAGCAGATTAATAACTGCATGATTTTTATCAGCATTAAAAGAGCCTAACAATTTCAGACTCCGCCCACAATGCTACATTTGCACTTTTTATTTATATATAAACCGAACTTTTTAGAAATAAAAACATCCAGAAATTAAAATAAAAAAAAATGCTTTCCAAAGTAGAGATTATTATGACATTATTTTTGTAGAAGCTGAAGCTGAAATGATTTCTTAAGTGTTGCAGATCAACTTCTAACTGCTTTACTTACTTTACGTTCTCTCAGTTTCTATTCCTGACCCCAAAACAAGTTTTTTTATTTACAGGTTTTTCAAAACCTGAAGTTGTTGTGTCTTGACACTTTTCAAAAGTTTTACTCTGCAATGTGTGACATCATGCAGTGTGTTTAAATAAAACTGTTTGTCGCCATTCGGCTACATCAACACAACGAGCACATGATGCAGAAGCTGAAGCTCTGCTCGGTTAACCTTAGGGACAGGTCATTGAGAGACAAGCTCACCAGGCTGATTTCCAAAGAAAATGATTTTCATTCATGAGAGACAAAAAATTGTTTCTCATGAATGGCTCATCCAAGTTGTAATAAAATAATGTAGTTTTATAACACAATGTCTTACATTTAAAAAAAATGCAGAAAGCAACTGTATTAAAACTCAAAGACCGATAATTTGATCAATACTGAGAAATTTGCCCAATTTTCTGATAAAATATTAAGTTCAGCATCAGATGAATGCAGTTTAATTTTAGTTGTTAAACTAAACATTTAAATAGTTCAAACACCTGCTTTCCTTAAAAAATGTGTAGCTGTAATAAAACAGGAAGTGGAGTGAGGATCTGAACTGTTCCATCCATTAAAAATTTCAGTTCAATTCAGTTTACATAACTCCAAGTCACAACAAAGTCATCTCAAGTACTCGAGGTCCCAGTTACACCCAAAAATAGCAAAAATATAAAGTATAAAAAGAAACAGTACATAAGGATCTAAGATATACACTGCTATATACGAACGCTAAACGATATGCTAAAAGATATACACTTAAACACTAATAATGTAAAGCAATATGGCGTAGCAACAGCAGCCCGAACATGAGTCTGTGCGAGCAGATGAGAATGAATGAATACAGCAGCATGAGATAATCATTAGCACAGATAAGTCACAAATCACCAGTTAAAGTGGCATTACAGTGATTATCCTGGTTAGGGATTTAGGAGTAACAGCTTCAGGGTAGAAGCTGTTCCTCAGTTTAAGCGGAGCAAAAAGTGTGTGTGTGCTGGATGAGTGGAGTCCTTCATGATGCAGGTGACCTTCCTGAGGTGTAGATGTCTGTGATGGTGGGGAGGCGGACTCCAACGGACTTCTGTGCAGCCTTCACCACTCTCTGCAGAGGTTTCCTTTCACAGGGCACTGAACAGGATCATTCATATATAAAAATAATAAGTGAACATTATTTATCTGAGGAGCAGCTTTGAGTTTAACTCCATCACAGAACTCTCATCTTGAGCAAGCATGAAGGCGACAGTGGAAAAGAAAAACTCCCTCATGCGGAAGAAACCTTTAGCAGAACCAGGCTCAGGACAAGCGGCCATCTGCTTCAACCGGCTGGGTTTGAGAGGAACAGGAAGGAGGAACAGATACACAATGGCAGGTCCAGAATCATGGAAATAATTTCAATTTTCAAAATCCACTCCTCTGAGAGCTGCAAGATCTCTCTCTAGTCCAAACTTAAAGACAAACCGAAATCTTTTAAAATAATTCCACTAGTGAAGTAATTCATTCCCACCTCCAGACAGCGACATGGCTTTAAATAAACGGATCTAACTTTGTACTGCAGTTACATTCATTTTACTCATTTACACACACTTCAGCTCAGGTATTAAAACATGACCCAGAAATGCCGTTCCTGTTGATAAATATCTTGTGTCTGTTACTAAATGCATTGAGAGAAACTTTGGCTAAAAGTAGAAAGTGTAAACATACAATGTAAATAACATTTATCTAGTTTCCTCACTGTTCATTTAGTCACGGGTTTCTGCTTCTTTGTGGATGTGCAGGTTCTGATGTCATTAGTCAGTAATATTTCTTTTAATTAGGCGTCTAATAGTGCTGAATATAAACAGTGACAGACATGATTTTACCACCGAGACTTCTGTGTATTTTTGTCCCAGGGTGAAAACCCATGTCACATTCTGCGTGTGAGAGAACATGAGCTGTTGGATTTGTCATCCAGAGGTGCGAGGACGGAGCTGTGAACCTGCTTTTTGTCAGGTTGACAGAAAATTAAACAGCGAGTCTGAGGAGAATCATAACGTTCCATGTAGACGTGTGCATGTGTGTGCGTGCACACTTTGTAAGTGTAACGTTCTGTCAAATGTCTGGGGATCAGAGCGCAGATGTTACAGGATTTATGGACTTGAAGATGCACAAAGATTTATTTAAAAATTAAAGTGTGGAAAATAATTAAATGTGTATTTTTCCCCCCATTTATTTCACTTTGAAAAAAAACAAAAAACAACAAGTGATCTGATCAGCTGTCTTTGCAGAGCCCTTCAGGGATCTATCTCGACACTCATAGTGTAAAATGATGTATTTCAGTCCCTTAAAGTGACAATTCATGCAGAGGTGTCAAGCTCACTTACAAACGGGGGCCAACATTAAAACCTTTTTCAAACTAAGGGCCAGTTTCAGAATCTACATTAACTCAAGTTAGATACTCAACATCTTTTCTTGGTTGTGGGTTCCTCAAAAAAGAGTTTGATTGGTCTCATTTGATGTTTTCTGTTGCACTTTTGACATAATCAAAGATTATGGAAAAAATTCAAGTGAAAAAAGTATTTTACTTTTAACATATCATCTTGGGTGCCAGATAAGATGTCAGTGAGGGCCACATTTGGCCCCCGGGCCTTGAGTTTATATGTGATTCATAGTTTTAAATAGGCTTCTGTGGATAAGTTATGAACAGTTATTATCTTACCTGTTGTAGATGGCTCTGTAAAGCTCTTTGAATGACAACAGTTTAATTCTGACCAGAGTGATAAAATAATGAGGCAGGCCCAAAACCAAAGTGGATTACTGCCGTCTTAAAACAATTCCAAATTTAAGAAAAATAAAAATAAAAAAAAATGTATGTATATATATATATATATATATATATATATATATATATATC